GTTCGCCGAAGCAGACATCGAGTGGAAAAAAGCCAAGGGTGGTCAAGCTAAGACCTGGCATGAGGGTATAAAAGCCCTAACCGGGAGTCACATAGGTCCCGTTAGGCTGCTTGGATGGGGACCTCGGGGTGGTCGTAACCGATGGTTAGAGATACTGATTGATATGGTTGGGTGTCGCAACCAGTGGCGTTCGTGCATCTTCTCAATCTCTTTGCCACCTTAGACCACTGGACCTCTCCAATTTCTGTTCGACTCCAATTTCAAGTTTCCTTTTATCTCTTATTCTTCATCCAAATGGGCACGATGATGCTTGGTTAGTTGTTGTAGAAACTGAAATTGATTCCGTCTAGACCCGCGTGTGGTAGACTAGTGTTTGCACTTGGCGATCCGATACTCATCGAAGTCAGTAATTCATATGTAGTCTTTAATGATCACTGGAATTACAGTGCTTTCCCAGTGTGTGGTTCATCTGATAAATTATGGATTGCGGGTCAAGATAAAATCTGAGGTATGCCCACTTACGTGGTAATGTTTGCGTCGACACATTGTCCAACACGGCAAAATGTTCCATGGTGTTTTTTTTGGTAAAAGGACCGTGCCTTTCAACTTTCGATTTGGTTTGTGATTGAAAGGCTTTGTTTCGATCCTGATGTTTTTCACCTGCTTGCGTCGCTCTGTCTCACAAATCAATCTGCAAACAATCTTGCTATGACCACATTGTTTCTCATAATTTCCCGTCTGTGATTACTCTCTTGTCGTAGGAATTATAGTGAGGATGAAGACATTATCATTTCACCCTTTTCCTCGTTCTCATCGCTGTTTTACTTTATCTGAGCAATAAATGCAATACGGTTGTGATACGTTTTTTCTGCCACATCCAAAGAAGAGAAAAACTTTTTCATAAGCATACTACTTTGTGAGCGAATGATACCTAGGAATTCAGTCAATGCTTCTGTCTCCGATTTCACAGATTTTGCGCTCATTCTGTCGCGTGTTACGTGAATCTCATCGCTGTCGGGTCATTTTTCGCAAAGTGAATGGATTCATCTATGTGATGCAAGAGCTGATCTACCTAGAAGGCTGTCTGAATCCGACCCGCATGAGCGCGTACCTGAATCCCAAACCCGATGTGGCAACGGGAGATAAACAAAAGCAACCGTCACAGCAGCAACAGCTCCACTCTCAACAGCCCTCACAAAGGGATTCTGTTCCGGTAACCCGGAGTCAGTTCTTAGCCAATCTGTCATACAAACAAGTGTTCCAGCTCGTTCGGACGATATTCACTACCCTGGGAATCGCCATGAAATTCGAACCGGCCAATGCGCATTACTTTGCGACTGAAGTAAGTCTTAATATTTGTGTTCCGTAAATAAGGTGAGAAAGTTGATGAAAAGTAAAGATCCAGTTTCCATCTTCACGATCACGAGGTTCCTTTTTTAATGAAGCTTCAAAATGAACATAACAATGTGGCCTCATTAGTCACGACATTTTCCAACACTCAAAATCTTCATCTTCGAATGAGCACCCAGATTTCGGAACATTATATACAACAAAGTGTAGGTGACAGCCACGCACGATACATTTACCCACTCAGCCCACTTGATGTAAAACAATTTCGTTATGTCTGTTCTGCAGGACTGAGGATAGGCTTCCTCTGGATTTGAATATTAGTCTAACACTACACTACACTTTTTGCACCTATGGAATCAATTTCAAGCGTGGTTTCACTTCGGTTGATTGTCTCAGTTTCTTGTTGTCTCTTCAGATTTTCGGGTTTACTCATATTTTTCAGTACCACGTTCATGGGCGTATTCCTCGGTGGTCGTCATGGCCACCACTAATGCGGTCGGTTGTCATTTGATAATTATCGTCCTACGATGTGCAGTGCTCGATTAGCCCATCATCTGTCTGAAGCTAGCAACATTGTGGATGAATACACTTGCCGCTCACCATCGAGACTGCTCACTCTAATGTGGTGACGAAATTAACATAAATTTCTGAAAGAAAAAGTGATTTTTAACTTTCGCTTTCAGACCATGAGAACTATTTGGATTTCGTGACCTCCTTTAAGACTCTTTTGAACCTTACCGCATTTTCGCCAATTATCAACAAATAGCACTCAGTTACGTTTTTCCGCAACTGTTTAGTTCAAGGGTCCATCAATTGACTGAAACCGAGGGGTACAGAATAGGTCATTTTGCAAGGAAATGCCCATAGCTCGTTATCTACACAGTACACTTATCTCTAGGTTCGAAAGAAACAGAGAATTAGGTAAAGTACTATTCGATTCAAGTTATTTCTGACCGGGTTTTTCCCTCAAGTTACAACTCATCTGTGCCAAGTTGCCGTTATTCTTGTGGTCAAGATGTTTCTGTGCTATTCTCAGTCCGAAAGGCTTACAGAACTTATGAACAGTTTTTGCTTGCAGTTTTCAGTCGTATGTTTTTTGGTTCAGATTAATGTTACAGGTCTTTTGACACACTGTTGTTTAACGTACATTACAGAAACCAATCAAATTCTATCTGTCAATTTATTTTTTGTTGCGTTTTGGTTATGGTTACGCGCTGTGGCTCATTAATACTTCACTTTGAAGGTGGTGTGTTCAAACCCCGATACCGCAATCTGACTTTCTAATTTTCGTGTANTTCTAATTTTCGTGTATTTTCTAGCGTTCCGTTCATAAAAACCAATTATGTGATTCTGTATTCGATTAAGGTGGATAAAATAAATATGGCTCAAGCATCCTACCCACTGGACCGCCACGTAGTTGATTAGACCGTTTGTCTTCTCTTCTATGCACGATATGGCGCCATTCCTTTTCTCACCTCACTCCCCCATCGGGATATTACTTGACCGGAAATATTCCAAACTTAGCAACTTTATAACAAGGGATTTAATTTGGTTACATAGTGAATGTCCCGCGCCGCGTGATTACCCGGGATGCTAGTGCTAGGCTGAACGAGGTGAGATACTCGTAACAGGCTTGCGAAGATGATTTGTGCTATACAGTTGGGATAGAATGACAAACGGTCTAATCAGTTGAGTAGTATGCTTCCATTCTATTTGTTAGGTCCATGGTTCGATCCTCAGTTAGTTTCATGGGTTTGCACTGCTGGTGGGACCAAACGAGATCGACACAGTGCTTTCTAACTTTTCAGTTCACGCCCCGTTCCCTGTGTA